GGCAATGCCACACATCTACAACCATCTGATCTTTGATAAACCTGACAAAAACAAGCAACGGGGAAAGGGTTCCCTGTTTAATAAATTGTGTTGGGAAAACTGGCTAGCCATGTGCAGAAAGCAGAAACTGGACACCTTCCTGACACTTTACACTAAAATTAACACCAGATGGGTTAAAGACTTAAACATAAGACGTAACATCATAAAAACCCTAGAAGAAAACGTGGACAAAACCTTTCAGGACATAGGTATAAGCAAGGACTTCATGACTAAAACACCAAAAACATTGGCAACAAAAGCCAAAGTTGACAAATGGGACCTAATTAAACTCCAGAGCTTCTGTATGGTAAAAGAAACAATCATTAGAGTGAACTGGCAACCCACAGAATGGGAAAAAATTTTGGCAATCCACCCATCTGACAAAGGGCTAATATCCAGAATCTACAAAGAACTAAAACAGATTTACAAGAAAAAAAACAAACCCATCCAAAAGTGGGCAAAGAATATGAACAGACACTTTTCAAAAGTGGACCTATATGAGGCCAACAAACATACGAAAAAATGCTTATCATCACTGATTATTAGAGAAATGCAAATCAAAATCACATTGAGATACCACCTCACACCAGTTAGAATGGCGATCATTAAAAAATCTGGAGACAACAGATGATGGAGAGGATGTGGAGAAACAGGAACCCTTTTACACTGTTGGTGGGAGTGTAAACTAGTTCTACCATTGTGGAAGACAGTCTGGCTCCTCCTCAAGGACGTAGAAATAGAAATTCCATTTGACCCAGCAATCCCATTACTGGGTATATACCCAAAGGATTATAAATCATTCTATTATAAAGACACATGCACAGGTATGTTCATAGCGGCATTGTTTACAATAGCAAAGACCTGGAACCAACCCAAATGCCCATCGATGATAGACTGGTTAAGGAAAATGTGGCATATATACACCGTGGAATACTATGCAGCCATAAAAAATGATGAGTTCTTGTCCTTTGTAGGGACACGGATGAATCTGGAGACAGTAATTCTCAGCAAACTGACACAAAACAGAAAATCAAACACCACATGTTCTTACTCATAGGCGGGTGTTGAACAATGAGAACACATGGACACAGGGAGGGGAGCATCACACACTTGGGTCTGGTGGGGGGGGCCAAGGGAGGGACAGCAGGGGGCTGGAGAGGTCGTGGAAGTATAACATGGGGAGAAATGCCAGATGTAGGTGATGGGGGATGGAGGCAGCAAACCACATTGCTATGTGTTTACCTATGCAACAATCCTGCATGATCTGCACATGTACACTAAAGTACAATAAAAAAATTAAAAAAGAAAAAAGATTTGTGGGAGGGATATGAATGAGGTGTGCCAAAAGGGTGAGAATCAGGTCACCAGCTCACAGGGACCAAGAGCCACCAGTGTCTGTTTCAACTACAGGGTTCACTTCTAGAAGCCTGAAGGCTCGTAATGAAACTCACTCTACATCTTAATTACTGCTGGAGAACTTATACCCAGGGACAAACTTTAATATTTAAATAAAAATGTTTTAATGAGTGAATGTTTTTTAAATAGCTCTTAAAAATCTCATTTCTTTTAAAAGACCTAAAACTCATAGGATAAGGAAGGAAAATTATAAGAACCCGTCAAATATGAGCACAATATATGGTTTTAAATCAGTCAACAAAAGCATTTTAGATGATTATATGCCTTGCTGACTAGAAAAGATTAGCTAACTCAGCACTGAACATTTATTCACCAAGTAAATTTAAATTTAACATGCCAAAGAAAACCTAATAACACTTTTTCAATTTTAAAATTTGTCAAATTTTTTAAAAGAGAAAATAAAATGTCTATTTCATTTCAGTTTTACTTATAAACTAGAAACAAGATAAGTATTTGCAGAACTAAAAAAATGCTTTGATTCTATTTTGTAGAACTTTTGGTAATCTTGGTATCATCAATACGAATAGGTACATAATTAAAACATGTACTTTGAAATGTCCAAGATCATACACTTAAATTTTCATTCAATTTTTTTTAATTTCAAAATATTAGGAATTATCTCTGCATAAAGTAATTCAAATTCCATTCACAGTTCATGCTGATCTTTTAAAATATTTTTCAAAACAAATAATATTTGAATTGCAACTTCATTCTAACTCAACTTCTGTAGAAGTTATAATAGTTTAGCTCAACAGCATTAAATTCAACATAACTAGATAGCAAATCTCATTCTGTAAAATCTAACCTGTATCCAACTATCCTGTACATACCTGAAAATTAAAGTCCATTGTTATTTTATTGATATTGTTTTTCCCGAGCGGTACACCTCATAGAATTACTCCATCAGAAAAGAATCAAATGGAATTTAAAATTGTATAAAATTTAAAATCAGAAATTCAGTAACTTACTTTCAAGCTTGAAAAGTAGTAAACAAAAATTATCATAAAGGAATAAAGTATGATGGTATATTGGTAAATTACCATAGATAGCTGTGGTAGAAATCTTATTGGTGTCTTGGATTTTTCTTTGCTGGCTGATTTATCCTACATGAAAAACACGAAAAAACAAAACTGTTTACTCCATTAATGATAAAATTGATTTACTCAACCAAATTTTAGTGTTTATTATAAGCACACATCATCCAAAATATTCTAAAACATACTGTACAAATGGCATGATCTTATATACAGAAAATCTTAAGTAATTCATCAAAAAATATTAAAGCTAGTGAATAAGTTCTTGTATCCAGCTAGGTTACAGGATACAAGATCAGTACACAAAAGTCAAATGTATTTAGGATGTGCCAGGAGGGTGATGCATCCCAATTCCACAGGGAGAGGGCATGGAAGCTCCGTGTCCAGGACCCTCCCAGGCCTCTCCCCATGTGTCTCTTCATGTGTTTTTTCCTGATTTGTATCCCTTATAATAAAACAGTAATCATAAGCATTTTAAAAATCAATTGTATTAATACAATTATATTTAATACAAAATTGAAATTAAGAGACAATTCCATTTACAATTGCATGAAATGGAATAAAAGACTTAAGAAAAAATTTAACAAAAGAAGTGTAAGACCTACATAATGAAACCATAAAACATTATTGAAAAAAAAAATGTTTTTTTTGTTTTTTGAGATGGAGTCTCACTCTGTTGCCAGGCTGGAGTTCAGTGGCGCAATCTCTGCTCACTGCAACCTCAGCCTCCCCGGTTCAAGCAATTCTCCTGCCTCAGCCTCCTGAGTAGCTGGTACTACAGACATGAACCACCACACCCAGCTAATTTTTATATTTTTAGTAG